AGATTAAGTCCAAACGAAGCGATTTCTCGATCGTCATTCGCTGTCGCGCGTATTGTTGTCCGATAACAATGTAAACGGCGTGCAATCGTGCGGAGTGGCCATTAAAACGCCGATACAGGGCATGGCAGAGCTTCACGAGACGCATACGTACACATTACGCATGCACACACGCACACACAAGTTCGTAAATATCTGAAATGAAATCTGTGTGCGGACGTGCACGAATAAATAAAGATAACAATGTGTCGATAAAGTTTATACTGCACGGAAGGGAAACGTCATAAGACTTTCGCCTATAAATTCTGTTACTATTACTCCTGTGTAGAATATATGCCATCCGCACGCCACGGTAATAAAATGCGGTATAACGCGTTTTCGAAGCAATTCTATGGTGGCCATAGCCTCGATACCTCGCCTACTACAGGTTGTCCCAGAAGATGCGAGAAGGAACAATTACTTGAGTGAATTAAGGAACAATATGATGTTTGAAAAATATTCGCAACGATAATATTCGCAATAGACCAAGAATTCAAGAGCAACAGCAGATTTCTCTGTAAATTTATTTATACGTTGATTTTTTATTTCAATTTTTAATATAATATAATATAATTAAAAGTTGAATTATTAAAATATAAAAAATAATAAAAAAATAATAAAAATGGAAAAATTTAATTAAATATAATATAATTAAAATTTGAAGATCTCATTTCTGTTGAAAATGTTGCTAAGATTATCGTTGAGTGTTGAAATTTATTTTTTAGGATATAAATAAGAAGGCGAAACACATCAGTCGACATGAGTTATATTCAGGATGACAAACATTTCACATATTTTAAGCTAATATTAGATAAAAGTTCGTGCCAGATAAAATAATCATCTGCGCATTCTTGATTATTTCTGGCGTTGTGTACGTCTTGAAGCTCGTGATTTTGTCGCGGCCTATAGAGGCCGGCAAACGTGTATTTTTCTATCGACGCCGGTCGTCGTTGCCGCGGCGCCGATGATTTACATGGCAATAAACTAACGCCTTGGTGCGGCGGCCAAAAAACGCGTTTGATTTATCCGCGCACTTTCGCGAAGTACTGGACTTTTGCCAGGCCGGAAGGTCCATCTCGCCGGAAATCACGATCATAATTCAGTGTCTATTGGGAAAGAGAGGGAGAGAGAGACGGACCCGTACCCGTGAAAACTCGAGAGAAAGTCCGTCTTGTGGAATTTACATAAAGAACGAAGCCTTCTCGCATAATCAATTCGCACATTTCATTTCGTTCGATAATACATAAAATTGTCTTCTCTCCAAATGTTTCCTCAAATTATTTCAACTGAATTTTTAAAATGTGTATGTTTACTATATTTTTGCTAATAAATATTTAGCATTTTGTTAATATACCACTCAATTTTTTTGTCCTTTCATTCACAATCACGTTCCGGTGATTAAATTCGAATCGATTTAACATTCAAAAGTAAATCGATTTACAATTAAATATCTTATTTGCTTTCGACGGTTGAAAATCGAGTCGCAGTTAATGGCGGAAATTAACGACGGGATGGGTTTTCCGTTTTTGCCCGCTTGGAAAGGAGGCCGCAAACATAGAAGACTGCCGCTGATGGCGTTCAGGAGTCAGTCGGGTCTGATTACACATCGGTGCGGCAAGGGCAATACCTTAACCCTTCCGTGTCGGAATCCACCCTTCCGCTGGGATGCTCGGGAGGAGGAAGGGAGGAGGGGGAAACGGGCGTTTGCAATTTAACGGAATCTCTGCATATAGAGTGGGTTCATCGCGGGTCCGCACTTTAAATGACGTCCCGGAAGTCCCTGTGCTAATTCTACGGGTCCTCGAACGCGTATACGGCCGTGTGTGCCCCCTCGACCCCATACCCCCCGTCCGGTCCCGCACCCTAACGCGGGGCAGAACTGGTTATGCAACGTCGGCGCTCGTTATAATTGCGGCCCACGACGCCAGGGAGGGAGATAAGAGCGTTTTACTAAACGGTGGAACACTTGCGCGCAACATCGTTTGTCAACCCATTGATATTTATTCCCGCCGTGTAATATATCGCGAATTAAATATATTCATTATTCCGAGCGAATAATATTTGCAACGATATCGTGATATCGGTTACAGGCCATTGATGTTATCTCGATATTTTGTCGCACATACAAATAATTTAATATAATTAAATCGTTTTTGCCGAATAAGCGAATAACAGTGATATAAATTTGCGACGAGAAATACAATATTGTACGGTATTTATTTCAGGTACCTATATATGATATCATTTAAATAATATACTATTTGATATTTAAATTATTTTGTTGGAAGTACAAAGTTTGTGAAGATGAGCAACATATATTGCTATTATATTTACGAAATATTGGCTTTATGGAGGAATCATTCGTTTCGAATCTATTTACATTATTATTCTCTTCTTTGTTAACATTTAATGTTTTTTTTTCTTTCAATATGAATGAGAAAAAATGATATATAACTGTCATTAATATCATATCTCACTTGTTCTATAAAAATATTTCTATAAAAATTGACAGTATGAATATGAAAGTTATTTAATTCATCACGAGCGGATAAAATGTTCTATTCTCGTTCGACAGGTAGCTGATACGGGCTATTCGATTTGTTAAAAATGTACATAAAACGTACGTTTTTTTTAGCACGACAATTAACGTTTATTAAAACGTCTAGGATGATTTATCGTCGTAAATAATTTTTCATGTTTCTCGTGAGCCATTTCAAAAGTTATTGCATATAAATTATATTTTGCTGTGGCTGTAAATCCGTGAAACACACAATGCTAGCGTTACATTGCACGAAAGAGATATTTTAATCGCTCGTAAAAGTTTGTAATTGATAGTCCCGTGTATAATCTTTCATTCTGAATCCTCATCAATTCACATTGTCATTATTATCATATTTAAAATGACTTATCGTTTAATCAATATCACAAAACATGTTTCATAAATTTGCTTATCGTTCGTGATGTCGACTCGAAAACAAAGTAATCAAACATCCGTACTTCAATTTAATGTGTAGATATCGCCTACCAATCTAGCAACCTACAATATTTTGATACTTCGATACAAAGAGAATGACTCTGCGTCACGAAAGTCTTTACACTCTTCCGCCACGCAGCTTCGTAATTATTCGCGACATGATATATTCCACAATTGAATATGATCCTTTGACGGTTTTCTTTTTTTGCCATTAATCATTCTGAATTTTTTCAAACAAATAGATGACAGGAAAATATATAATTATAAATATATATGTTACTTAATTTTTAATTATGATATCATTATTCGATTTAAGATTAATATAATAATATATATGTTTAATATATATATGGTTGTTTCATCTTTGTTTCAAAAAAATATTTTCCAAAGTAATAATTAGATCAAATTATTATTTAAAAAAAAAATATATATATATTATATATATTATATATAAAGGTTATGTGCAAATATACATTTGAAATGTTGTCGAAGAGAATTTCCGAGATTTTTTTTATTAAAAAATACTTGGTGCGCGTGAGATACAAGTGTAACCATTTTCGGAAGCGCAACCGACGAGAATAATTTTCGATTCGCTCTGCACAAACGCTCTCTCGCACGTTACTGCCGATGGATTTAAAAGTAAGTGGATGCACAACACACGAAACGTTCACGTCTGTCTCGTGCAGGGGACATGGGAGAGCCGTTGGCGGCAAACAATGAACGCGCGTTGTGCGGTGGCCGAGGGGTCGAGAAGGGTGAATTGCGACTACGTGCCCTCGCATACGAATCCGTTTACGGATGTACGGAACGGAATTGGGAGAGGGAGGGAGGGAGGGGGTGGGCGCCCTCTCGACGCCGCGTCGGCGTCTCCTTGAATCTAATAGATCGCGCCCAATACTTATGGTCAAATCGCGACCAACAGCCCCCGGGGACTAGGCAGGGGTCCGCTCATTACCATTCCGTCTCGCGCCGTGACCCGTCTTCCCCCCCCAATAACCGTTATTGATAATCAGAAATGCCTTACGAAGAATGTAAATCAATTCGAAGGACGTCTGCGATGGCGACGCCAAGTTTCTCCAAGATTGTAGTGGACTCGAAATGGTTCCGTGTGCTCGTTTGGATGAATTCCGATTCGATATTGGTGTAAAAAAGAAATTAATATTTCATTAATTTCAAAAATCTTCAAAGAAGAATTCTTCATGAATTCTTCAAATTTTAAATATTTTTTGAAGAGATATTTTATAATTATTATTCGTTGAGAGAGACAAGATGACGGATAAATAATATTCTTTCATTTGAGATTCATTAACACTCTTTACCTGTAAATTAAATTAAAATTTTAAATACATTTTTCAAGGAGTTTGATCTCGACGTTATATTATTTTCATAAATTATATCATTATTTAAATTAAAGTGTGAAATTTTTCGCCGGTTTTATCTTGCGGCTACTTCGGGATTATTTAAGAATATCGATATCTTTTTCCGCGAACCGCAAAGCAGACAAGAATCGACTGGACCGACAAGGTTTCTCGCTTTCAGGAATCCGATTCTCCGACGTACATCGCGGTAATCTCCAAGTATACGAGAGGAGAGTGTGATCTCTCCTTAAAGTTTAAGCCCCTGTTAAGGCAGCTTAAAACTCAGGTAACGGGAATTACGCCGGGAATACATCCCGTTGAAAGTTACAGACAGATTTCGAAATTGCATCGCTCGAGACGAAAAGTTAATTGCAAATCAGTGTAATGATGTTTTCGACATGTGAATTGCGTACGAAATTTTGCGTTCGAGTTTTTCCCACGAGTTTACAAACATATCATTTTAATTTATAAACCTGTTCAATTAATCTTATGCTACTTAAACAACGTATAGAAAATTTGTCCACGCATAATGACAAATGCATGTACATATTTAATTCCCCTTTAATTAAATTTCGCCCCTTGCTGTCTCATATTTCACATTTTGCATAATTTGTTGTTCCTTGTTGTTACAGGAAAGCTTGGAAGAGCGCGTGCAAGAACTGGAACAAGCGTTGCTAGCGGAACGCATCGCGGCTCAACGAGATCGAGCGACGATCACAAAGTTGCAGCGGCAAATTAACAAGGTATGTTGTTCTTTTCAAGACGATAAACTCGTCTCAGTGAAAGCGGAAAGTCGGGATAAAAATGAAAGACTCGATTTAAGTAAAAGTATCAATGTTCATCGCTTCTCTCAACCTTCCGAGAGGTAAAAATTATTTTTAAAATAATTAAAAGAAAGCTGATGACGTGAGAAATTTATCGATAACAAAGTGATATGCGATAACTATTACGATTTTTTAACACAATATTAACTCATCCGATTTTAATAATATAATAAACAGTAATAAAATATATAAACAGGAGGTATAAAAAAATTATAATTTCCTGAAAAAGATTTGCACTTGAAATTTTTAATTCTATAAATATCTATAATATATTTTTAATTCTATAAATATCCTTCTATAAATATTTTTAATTTTATAAATATCCTGACGCTTCTCTATATCGAGAATAAACTAAGGTAGTGGTAAAGGATACGTATCAGAAAGCATAGTAGCCAACTCGATCAAACTTCGCGAGTTAGTTCTACCGGTTCGATCGGTCGAGCGGCATCTGAAAACTATGGTCTCCGTCTTGAGCGGAGTCGCCGATCCGTTAACTTGGTCCGCTCTCTCCGGAACGAGATTGCAATTGCGAGGACGGTTCGAGTGGTGTGCGGTGGTAGTTTCGATCTGGACCAGGCTTGCACGCGCGGCTGACTGCGCCGGCTCTTGTGGTGCGGTGGCATTCGGCGCCGCGTTCGCCGTATCAGATAACGGCGACCCTCGTAAACCAGACCCCGCAGACTGCAGAAATACCCTGGTCCCTTCGAGATAGGGAGAAAGAGAGAGAAGGAGAGAGAGAGCGTCCCGGCCGTAATCACGTTTCTCTCCTTTCGCGCAGTTTATTCGCGTTATGTCACTTCCAGGGAGAACGTCCTAACGCCTGGCGCTCCGGTAATCGCCGCCGACTGATTTATTCCGTTGCCGTTGATAATCTCCCGACGCCGGGATCGTTTGATATGCTATTCCCGATCGGCAACACTGATTATGATGCGAAATTGTTATCCGGAAGCGTTGCGGTTTAACTATCAATGGCATTATGGTGATCAAGTGGTTCGTTTAAATTATAATACATTAGTATAGTTTTTTTTATTAACAGTGATATTATATTATATTTATTAACAGTAATATTATTATATTTTTAATTAATTACTTGCCATATTTATATGTATGATGTTCTTTTACAATTTTAAAAATGCTATTTTTTTAATTTTATTCTCTCTTATTAAATATAAAATATAAAATTAAATATAAAAATTTAATACAAAAATTTCTCTATCATATAAATGTTACATAAAAAATCTTTTCATACACATACACATGGCAGAATTTTTTGAAAAATTAAAATTCCTGTAAAAAAAGATAATTTTATTACATAATTTCATCATGTAACGCGTATAACGTGCAATGTTATAACGCAAATAATAAAATTTATGCGTTCGCAATACGTTAAATAAAAAAAAATGCGTTTTCATACGACGTTTCACATTACGCGATATTTCATTATTGCATACGAATGAGACATGCGTACTTCTACCACATTTCATTTTGTGTCGCGCAATTTCCAGCGTAAAGCATTCGCGATTACCTCGACGTTTCCATCGAGATGAAAAGATTGCACGCATGCACACCGAGCGGCGTAATAATCCCAAACTCGTTCCGCGTTTTAATCCATTTCACCTCTCACAGAATCGACGACAGAGAGAAGGAGAGGGAAAAAAAGAGAGAGCGAAACGCTTGTTATCGTAAGAAGGACCTTCCGGATAGGATGAGGATGACTGGTACGCGCAGTGTGCTTTTGACGTGTCCTTTTCCGCGCCCCTTTTGCAAGTCTATAAAATATCACGACAAAAACAAGCACAGAAAGAAGGGTGGCAATCCCTCTCGCAGCATTCAGCGTAATCTCGCGTGATTTACGCGTTTTTCGCAAACGGATTTCCGCGAGTGTCCGAATTATTTATCGCGTATCCCGCGAGTCCAAGTTGACAGACTCCGCCCGTCGATTTTCCTCAAATCATCCTCGCCGCTATTGCAGGGTCACGAACGTCTCTTTACGCACGTATAACACTGCGTACGCAGGGGAGGATCGGGGAGGACGTTAATTCTTCTTTGCCGTTCTTTATGTTCCTTTCTGTATCACTTTGATACATAATAGCCAATAGATTGACCGCGCACGTATATATGAGATTGCACATAATTGTATTATATATAATATGATTTTTTATTCCATTTTTATTCCATTAAATTAAATAATTAATTAAGCTTTTTTTCATATCATCTAATTCCTTTAAAAAAATTATTTAATACTATTTATCAGATTTTTTCTTTCATTAATTATAATTAATTTTAATTTAAATTAAGATTTTAAGTTATTTTTAAAACTTTAAACTTTCAAAGTTTAACATATAATTTATTTAAATCTTAATAATTATGTTTTAATTTTATAAATTTCCTTAAATTTGCAATTTGATATTTTTTAATTTAAATTATAAAACAATTTAATATTAGAAAATTTATTTTCATTCATAAATTTACAATTTATTACTTTTTCATAAATATTAATTACATTTTCTACAATTTTTGATTGACACCTTTTAATTATAAGGCACAATCGGGGTATGTACGCTGTTATATAATACAAATTACATGAATATAAATTTATACTAACGATATTGGAATATCGGAAAAAACCTTGTTAGCACTAGTTATAAGAGGAATAATTAAATAATTAACTAATTAATTATTTTTTCTATCCTCTTCTTTCATAGTAAAAATATTTTCTCAATGCGAGGCGATTAGAATCGTGAGAACCAGCATAAGATGTCGGAAGGCAGATAAAATTAATTATGTTGCGTGGAAGAGCGGATGTATCTTTTTTTTTCTCGAGACACAACAGTTAATTATTCACCGGGCAAATGTATAAGTAATCCTAGCAAGATACACCACGAGTTCACTAAATATTTTTCTAGTCACGAAAATGTTGTCGGTATAGAAGTCGCAATAAATCTCAGCCAGATTGGATCTACACCTAATTTCTGTCGAAATTAAGTCGCGCGACAATCCAAGAATTAAGAAAACTAGCCGGTTGATCTCACAAGATGGAATACATTTGAACGAACCGGTCTGGCTACTTGCCTTCTTATCCACTACTGTCTTTGTTGACTTCATTTATCCTAGAATTTTTCCAGACGTGTAATTTAGATGCAGTTTCTGATAGCTGCCAATCTCATTAATCCTACCTACATCGATTAGTTTACATTCAACGAAGATATAATTATTTCACGTCATTAGCGAGAAACTATGCATACAGGAAATAAATTATACATAGTGTAAAAATATCGTGAATAGATAAAAGATTGAGATAATATCTTGTTTCGACAAAATTAAAAAGTAATTACATGCTTCGATAATCGAATGTATTTGTATGATAATATTGATTTTAATTTTTTATACAATAATAACAAATGAATTATTTGAGAAAAAAAGAAAAAATATAATCTTTTCGATTTGGAGTATTTAAAAAAAAATATTTTATATAATTTCATTTAATGTATTTAAAAAAAAATTACGAGACAAATATATTTGTTGTTTCTCAAACTCACGAAACATTTTACATCATATGTGCATAAACAATGAACGATAAAACAATGATACAATTTATTAAAAGGCACCTCTTACACTCGATATACGTCTGCGGAATTATTGGATCATCTGTCATTTTGTCGTGAACGAGATATTGTATTTACAAAAGTCCCGGGAGGAAAATCTAATATACTCCGGAAAATGTGCTCACGATAGACACGAGGACGTTGGAAGAGTCGAGTGGATTGGCGTGGGGGCGAAAGAAGCGGGACAGGGAGGAGGGAGGGGGAGGAATAAAGAGGTTCCTCGTGGTTCGACGGTGAGACGCGGACCCCCAACCCCCTCGAGTAAATTACATTCCCGGCAAGCCGTATCGGATTATCCTCGCGCCTCGGCGAGGATTCGTCCAGACCGTAGGAACTTCGCCATATCGCTGTTCTCGCGCGCGAGGATACGAAAGTTTAAAATCTCTCCGGCAGGAAGGGGGTGAAAAGGACGAAAGAGTTCCCCGGTTGGCATTTCACCGTCGGATTATACCAGGAGTGAGTTATTCTCGTGCCAATCCTACGACCATTCTTGGTAGAGCCGATAGAATTGCAACGCGAGTCGCGACACGTGCTAGACACCACGGCCTCTTTTTTGCACGCGCAGACTTTATCGGAGGCGTTATCGATCGAAGGCGACGGATGGCGGTCGTATAGCCACAAGTCGAACGACATGAGAAAATTAATCGCGCATTTAAATGTCTCCTTCTTTCGAATTTATTCTTACGAACGACATTTAACGTCAATTTATCAGTTTAAAATATGGTTTCTTCGTAATTTCTACACAGAAAAAAAGGACATTCTTGGTTTGAAAATATATTTAGTTTTAACATGGAAATCTTGAAGTGAGATTATATTGCGTTAATGACAGAAAAATATAATTGCTTGAATAATTGCTTACTTGAATGAAACCATTTTATATAGTTCAATCAAGAAAAATATATTCTTATGATTTAAGACTCAATTTTCTTGAATGGAAAAGAAACAATGTTGGATAGAAAATAACATTTTTAAATCAAAGATTATAATTTTCTTAAAGTAGAATTAAATAATTATATATTCTTGAAGTGACAATTACAATATTAAAATAAGACTATAATATTATTAAAATTTAAAATTATTAAATTCTTCTAAAAAGTATAAATTGTTGCGTACATATGAACGTGTTAGTTTAAGTATATATAAATTTTGATTTGACACTTTTTTTCTGTGTACTATGAATAACATTTCTTAATTACAATTACGATTAATTTATATTTGGTATTATTATACATCACAAACTGCAGTGGATATAATGGAATTATTACAGATATTGAATTATATAATGGAGGTATTATTGAGGTATAATTATGAGAG